CCCCTAGCAAAAATGCCCTGGTTCTGCGATGCAGGCTCCATCTAACAGCTCATCCAGGCCCAACAATGGCTGGTAATCAGGAGCAAGCTGGGGTGCTTGCAGTTCTCACCTGTAGGCAGCAAAGGCCCACTGTATGGGGTAGTCTAGGTTCTTGGTGCAGATGGCGATGACCACCAAGACTGAGGCGATGAGATGGATCTGGATGCCCGAGTACATCATCAACAGGCCCAGGAGCTGCAGGGTCCAGGAGAGGAGGTTGATGCTGCGCTTGTTCTCCAGTGGGCCGTACTTGTAGCACACGCCGAAGCTCACGAAGCCCATGACCAGCAGGTAGCCTGCAGGAGGGCAGAGGGATCAAGCATGAACTGGCTGAGCAGCATCTGCCAGGGCTGCAGTTCAACCCGACGCCAGAGCCTGCCTCTCTCAGGAGCACGAGGGCAGCATCTGCAGCACCAAGGCGTGCAGGAAGCCTTGGCGTTTTCTGCCAACACATTGCAGCTCCAGCAGGAGACATGCAGACTGGTGAACCAGTGGGTCCAAAGGGCCCACAACCTACCTAGGAGGTACTGCCAGTAGGACTTGCAGATCTCCCGTAGGTTCTTGAAGATCAGCTGAAGCAGGTACAGGGAAAAGGACCACCCTCCTACCAGCAGGAAGTAAACAGGATTTTTCTAGAAGAGGAGACAGGAGACTCAAAATAGGCAGTGGGCAACCATGGCTACCTCCCCCCAGCTGCCAAGCCTCACTCTGCACAAAGCCAGACCCACAATCCAACAGCCCAAGGCCATGTACTCCAGCACTCTCATCAGAACAACCATACAGGGATAGAAAGGGCTACTGCTATGAGGTCTCTCGCCCCTAGATGCTCACCTTGGGCATGACCTTGGACGTCATGTAGATGAGGATGAGCAGCGAGGTCAGCAAGCCAAAACTAATCCCGGCTGAGTAGTAGAAGATTTGGCTCCTGCAGAGATCGCACACATGCACAAGGTGTTTAACAGCTCATGGATGCCAGTGCACAAACACACCCGCTGGGAGCAACCCCCTGAGAGCCTGCAGAGCCAGCCAACCCCCCCCATCCCCAGCTCACAAGGGAAAGGAGGCGACTCACCTGCTCAGCATGTCCCCACAGAAGAACAAAAACAGGCCCAGAAAGAAAATCAGGAACAGCTTAGGGTCAAAGCCTGGAAAGAGAGCAAGCGCAGGCTGAGAGGATCCCTGGCATGGTGCCTTCTGGGTTGAGCTCCAGCCTGCCACGTGGTCGCAGGGACAGGGAAGGGGCAGCGTCCCACGCAAACCTCTGACGAGTGCCCTAAATTCCCCCACTTTATATCCCATGGATGAAGACATGCTTCCGTCTGCAGGCCCTTTTCCCTTCCCAAGGAAGGACCAGCCCTGCTGGCCCTCAAGACCATGAGCTTGCCTGACCACATCCGCACTGCACCCTCAAGAACACCAGCGCAGCCAGACCCACCTCCCACCCCAGGAGCCCCCGCCACAGAGCAGACATACGTCGGAAGAGGAGGACGTAGTACTCGGTGCCAGTATCCAGCGGCTCAACCTTGAGACAGGTTTTCTTGCTGTAGAGATCCACATCGATACTGGTGTCGTTCAGCTTCTCCTTCAGGAAGGAGGCAACAATGTTCCACATGCTGAACTTCTCCAGCTCCTCCTCGCTGTTCACCTGGGTGACTCGGATCATCCCAGTGCTGCTGATCCGGATCTGCACAGGAGAGGGAAGCAAACAGGGGAATGGCCACAGCTGCCAGAGGAGCTCAGCCCAGCCAGACCCAGGAGGACCTGCGCCTTCTCCTCTCACCTGCATCCTGGTCCAGATGTCACGCCATTGCGGGGGGTGTGTGTTGGTGTAGCAGAAGCGCTGAGGAGTTGAGCTACGGTGCATGCGGCCCTCATGGAGTGAGATAACCGAGACTCTAGCATCTGTGCAACACAGAGCAGGGGAAAGGGATTCAGCAACGCAGACTGAACGACAGGCCCCTGTTCCCACTTGCTTCACCCACCAAAACACACAGATCCACTCTCCCTTCCTGGAGCCCCCCCCAGTTAAGGACACTCTGGAGGGATAAAGATAAAAGCCCTTCCTCCATTTTCCTTGGGCTACGCTGTCTGGTTCTTTTCTGGGATAACCCTGTACCCGGGACTGTCAGAAACAGCACAGACTCATCTCCTGCTCTCCTTTCTGGCTTGACTCCTCATTCTGGAGCCATCCCCATCCCAGGGAAAACTAAAGTCAAGGATGCCTTCTGCACAAACTCGCCCCCGAAGTGAAGGAAGCTCCGGAATCTCACAGAGGGCCCAGCCGCACCGGCAGATCCGGGCAGCGCCAGCTGGCAGAGAAACGCCACGATGCAGAAGGGGAAGAGCAGGGAGCTCCCCAGGCAGAGGGGCACAGAGGCTGCGCTCCCC